CCAGAAATAAGATACCATAAATGCAAGCATGTTTTGGGAATGCATGTGTATATATATATATATATATCACCTATATATATATATATGTATATGTATATATTATGTATACACTGTATTTGTATATATATATACATCGATATATATAGATTATTAAATATATATAATATATATATAATATATATATGTATGTATCCCACCCGCCCTCTGGGCGACAGGTGGTCTAAGGGTGATCTCTGTTTTCTTCCACGACTCCTCTTCCCTTCGGGGAAGGGGAACCCTCCCCCTCCCCCTCCCCTCCCTGGATTTTTTTGGGAGGGGTCGCGAGGTGCCGGAGGCTCCTTTTTCGGCCAGTGGGAGGGCCACACATCGAGGACCCCCCCCTTTTGACCGACCGCCTCGAAGATGGCCCCAAGAGGTCCTCCAGGGTTCCCAAGAGGCCCCCAAGAGAGCTTCAAGAGTGCCCCAAGAGGCCCCAAGAGGCCTCCAAGAGGCACCCGAGAGGCACCCAAGAGGCCCCCTGAGCGGCCCCTCAAGAGGCCCAAGAAGCTCGCCCGAGGCACGCAAGACGCCGTCTCGTCCTTGTCCTCCTCCTCATCTTCCTCGTCCCCGTCCTCGTCCGCCTCCTGGTCCTCATCCTCGTCGACCTCCTCGTCCTTATCCTCCTCCTCCTCCTCCTCCTCCTCCTCTTCTTCCTCCTGTTTCTCCTCCTCCTCGTCCTCGTCCTCCTCCTCGTCCTCTCGTTCTCGTCCATTCGTCCTCGTCATTTTCCTCCTCGTCCTCCTCCTCCTCCTCCTCCTCGTTCTCCTCCTCCCCCTCGTCCTCTTCCTCCCTCTCCTCCTGCTCCCTCCCCCTCCTCTTCCTCCTCCTCCTCCTCACTCTCTTAGTCCTCGTCCTCCTCATCCTCGTCCTCCTTCTCCTCGTCTTGCTCCTCTTGCCTCCTTCTCCCTCCTCCTCCTCCTCCTCCTCCTCCTCCTCCTCCACCTTCTTCTCCTCCCCTTCGAACCCGAGATGGCCCCAACACGCCGTCCAGGCCAGCCTCCCTCGCTGTTTGACTATGCGTGTCTCTTCCTCTCTCCCCCCGTCAGCTCTCATGGGCATTCGTTCTGGATGGGCTGGCGGGTATACTTTTGGGTACGCGGGCGCTCGAAAAGAGTCGAACGCCGTGCAAGCAGGGGCGCTGGTGGGGATATGCGAAGCGTCAGGAATCCATATATATATATATATATATATATATGTATATATATATGTATGTATATATATACATATATATTTATATATATATAAATATAACGCACCAGGTAGCTGATACATTCGCAGTGCAACGATTCACTCTGTATGGTCCACGCTGGTAAACAGATAACTCTCATTTCAGCATGAACGCTGTTGCTGATCCCCCCTCAAGTGCACACTTTGCTTTTCAACTCTGAAGTGTACTCCCCCCAGGCACTCGCACCCTGGTCTTTCATCATAATCTTGAAGATCAAACTGTGCTCCAGGGCCCCCAGCTACAACAACGCTCCTGCCAGAAACTTCCTCACAATTGATCAGGACTTGCGCTCTCGCTCGAGACGCGCGCAATGTACTCAAGAATCGCGCCCTCGACTGGGACATCTCAGAATTTATGCAGGAATCGCGGTCTCGCTGATCAGGATGCGTGCTCTCGCTTGGGATTTTCTTGCAATCTAGTCCGGGGTCGAATTCTGGGCTGAGACTTCGTCACACGTAACAAAAGGAATCGCGATTTCATGTCCCGCCCGCCCCCCAACCCGCCCGATTGGGCCCGCCCGTCCGACCCGCCCGATCGGGCCCACCCGTCAGGCCCCCCCCGCCCGACCCGCCTGTTCGGATCCGCTGGGCCGAATACTCCGACGCCCGCACGCCCGCTCTGACGCCCCGCCCGCCCGACCCGCCCGTCAGGGTCCGCCCGCCGGACCGGCTCGTGCTGGGCTGCCGCCCGACGGGCCCGCGAGGGTCCGCTGGGTCGCCTGCTCGGAGGCCACGAGCCCCCCGCTGTGAGGTCCCGCCCGTCCGGCCCGCCTCTTAGCGTCCGCCCGCCCGGCACGCTCGTCTGCCCCGGAGTGGGGCCTACCCTGGAGCTGGCACGGGAGGAGAAGCCACCAGAGCTGCTGCGACCGCCGACGCAGACGGCGGGCACCGAGAGGCTCGAGTCTGCTGGCACAGGGCGACCCCGCCACGCGAGCATCGGGTCGGGCGAAAGAGGGGGGGATAGCACAGGGGGGGCTTGAGAAGCAGCTCACGCAGCCGAGCTGCCCGGCGCCTCTCCGCGCCGGAGGCGGCCATGGATATCGAGGAACGGGCCCCTTCGGGGAGGCCGAAGCCAGCTGCACGCCGCACATTTCGTAACCACCCCCCTCCTTTCCCAATCCCCCCCCTTTCGCCCCGCCGCGCGAGCAGCGAACGCACGACCAGCTGCACGCCGCAAATTTCGTACCCCCCCCCCTTTCCCAATCCCCCCCCTTTCGCCCCGCCGCGCGAGCAGCGAACGCACGACCAGCTGCACGCCGCAAA